CCCCCCCTTAATTAAAATTACGTGGAGTTTTTTGGCAGTACTTATTTAGTTTAGTACATATTTAATTTTAACTCTTTGCCATTTACACCTGAACTTAGGGGTATGTTAATGGCTTTCTTTCAAAAGATTAACTCCTTTACTCTGTCACTCCCCAGCTAGCTTCTGGTTTGGAGCTACTACAAGTTCAATGATATCTGTAGAAACAGTATGAAATGGCAGGCCCTCTGCTGCTAAATAGCAAACAGGTTTAGGAAATTTGTTACCTACTTCATCTCCTGCCTTTAGGAAGTGCAGAATATTATCTAGTGAACAGTGGTGGAGAGTAATTCACATGGTTGTAATGGCTATTGCATTCCTGAGGTCTGCACATAACTCAGAATTCTGGGAAGCAATTTAGAGTGGAGGAAAGCATTGGAGAAATCAAGAAATGATGGTTAGACTAATAAACATTTCACTAAAGTAAATGTCTTGACACCTGAAATTACTGCCTTTCTGGTTTAGAAAATGCTCTTGTAATTCTACAAGTGAATTTTTCTTGCATCATCTGTTATGTTTATGGCTTTATTTTATTCAGAACTTTTTTCCAAAAACTGTGATATAGCAGTCATTATATATAAAAGCAGAGCAACCTCTACCAAAGAAGCTTTTATTCTTGAATCTTAGTAAATGAGAATAATACTTATTTACCATGTAGAACATTTTTCTTTCTGAAGTTACGCCCATTTGTATTTTAAAAACTCTTTAAGGATAAGACCTAGAAAAGAAGGTTGGAATGGGCAGTCTCACAGATAGTCTAAAATGACAGTGATACTGTCAAAGTAGTGAACATCTGAACCAAACAGTGAAGTGGCCAAAGAGACAATGTGCTACTCGTGTGCTTCAGTCAGATTTCAGGCTGCTTTCAAAGCTGGCAAAGAGCAATGTGTTCAAGGTCACTGAGCAAACTCTGCAGCATGCAGAACACATTTCACTGTCCCCACACTATTTTAACCCCACCTAGTAAACATACTTCCATCTCCTCCTTCCTCTCTCCCTGGCTTTTGCACAGGAATTTGCAGAGCAGGAATAACACCCCACAACAGCACCAGTGGTACCATTTTAAAGGCACAAAATACCCCAGTCTTTTATCCTTACCACATGGTTAAAAGACTGGAGCTTTATGATAACCGGGTTTCTGTTTCAACAGACCTAGAACTTGAGGATACTATGACACCATTAATGGCCACACCCACCTGAAATGCAGAGAAAGCTTAGCAGCAGCTCATTGTTTTTACTGCTGCTGACACTGACCTGAACTCAGCTGCTGCAGGTGGCGTTAGGGTGTATATTTCTTCTTTTCCTTGCATCTCTTCAGTATGAATAAAGAACCTGAAAATGAATAATGATCATTTACTGATAACAAAAGTAAGATGTTACAAACTCATCTGGTTTTACCAAATGCGACAGTACCAATGCAGGGCTTTTTTCCTCATAAATTTGGTACAATCTCAGGTTAGTCAATATCCATGAGATGGCAGTCTAGTCTTACTGATTTTTCTATAAGACATTTTGCCAGTATATACCTATTTTCTGCTATTTATTTCATAGTAACATTGAAGTAGTGTCAGATGACCCTGATCTGAGTAGAATTTTTTCAAATGTTGTGTCACCTCACATTTGAGTTTAAAACAGCTGGATTTCAGCAGCTTGCTTCCACAAAGAGAAGTGGTCAAAACACAAATTTCAAATTTGACTAGTTAGGAAAACAGTCTTCTTGCAGTGCCAACAGTTGTTGAACTTGTACATAGAAACTGATGTTAAATGTTGTAATGTTTCATCAAGAAGTGTTTGGTTGCCCACGGAGTAAACAAGGCACAAGCTAATTGTTAAGCCAGAGTTATGTGCAAAGATTCTGCTACTACCTTAGAGTACAAAACTACTTGGGGTAAACTTCCTAGGTATCCACTACCAGATTTCACTGCTGTGCCTTGCCAGGGGGGATCACCACCTTTGTCCTGATGCTTAAGTGGTATTGGAACATGTCTGACATGTTGACAGATGTGACTTAATAGTGACTGTCTTGTTTAATCTATTTAATTAGGGCAGCTTGGTTCTTACAGCACTAGCACAGGAAATAAAGGCCCTCATTCAGAATCCTGCCATCAGTCTGGGAAAGCTTTGTTCAAATCATGTAACTTTTGTGTATGTGAGTAAATGGTAAACTTGGACTCAAAGCAGCTTAGCTGTATGTTGGAATAAACATCTAAGATTTTACTTGTAAGGGGCAATTTCAGTGTGAGGCAGGGTAGAACTGGTTTCCAGCTTAGAAACACTGCTCTTTTTAAAGCAAGTCATGCATTTCGAAGGATTTTATGAAGCCTATTGGGAAAAACAGTCCCTTTTGACCAGATGCTTTAACCAATCCATATTTAAATTTCATAGCAAGAAATAATTTAGTACTATAGTTTCTTGGTTCTTACAAATACAATCAGACTGAATAAGCGATTCTGCTGTTTAAAAGAAATTGAAAAAACAAATTTTAAAACTGATGTGTATTTTATGTCTTTGAAAGGCCATGACTTAGAAATCACTATAGTGTCCTTGGAAGATGGGGGTCCAAATGGTACCATTACAGCTTGGAGAAAAGTGAAATGGAGAATGGAGATTGGCAGGGCTGCTGAATGCTGCAAAAGAATCACTAGTCAGGCAGAGTTAGACCCAGAACCTCTGTGCTCAAATTGCCATTGTATCTCTGTGTTATATTGTGTACCTCTTTCTAATTTTTTGTTTAAGGCAGCTGTGGGAGGAAGGATTGACTAGAACATAAAAGCATGAGAAACTCCCCAGAGTGTTTTGAAGCTCGCTGGGCAGCACAGTGACGCATTTTAGGATGGTTTGGGTTGTGTACTTCATGCTTTCTTAGCCACTCTCAGTCTAGAATCGCAGTACATTACAATTATTTATTAATCAAGCCTCAGAATATTATTCTGAAATAAGATAACACCCCTATCTCCATTTTGGAAAAAGAAGAAAACTGAAATGCAAAATATGGAATGTCAACAAATGCTCAACAAAAAGTGGCAGAGCAGAAGTTCAAACCCAGTCTGCAGGCTGGCTGACTTCTGCTAGAGAAGTTTCCTATTTCCTATACTGACCTCACAGGAATCAGTATGTGGAAGTCCTTCAGAGTAGGGTATGGTTTCCCTGGAGCTGAACTAATTCTAAAGAGTGGGCAAAGTGCTTTAAAACATTAGAGCTGGACTTGAATTCATTATGGCAATCATATCCTTCGATGGATTTCCCTATAAATAATATTTGCATCTATTCTGCTACTATTCTAATCATTGATGTTCATTTCCTAGTGCCTTCTGAGCTGTGTGTTTTCTGTGCCCTTCAGACTGTGGCTAATTTTATGTATGTATGTGATCTAGGAGCTATATTGTCTTTGCATTAGTTTAACACTGAGCTGGAGCTGCACTGAGGAATGAAATGGCATTTATTACATAGCTTTATGTAAAAACATATGATCAAAGTGTTCCTTTGTTCAGCTTCATTTCCATAGCCTAATACTAAACACAGGAGGACTCTTGGCCAGGAAAGCAGTTCAGTGTCTACATTAAACTAAAGCCCATTGAGAACAGCTCTCCCACAGCAGCAATCTGTCACTTTGCCATTTGGTCTCCTTCCCTCTTGTCTTGATTTTTGGCTGAAAAGCTTTTGCATATTCTCTCATGCTGTGGAGCACACATTTCTATTCAATCTATTTCATTCTTATTTCACTCAGACTGCCTCAAGTTAGCTTCACTGTGACTGACAACCTCATTCATTTCATTTAGTAATTCCTGGGGCAAACAATTGCTTATTGATACACTGCCAAGGTTGGTTTTCTCATATTCTGGCCAGATCTAGAGGATGTGTCACCCATTTGCTCTTCCTCCTCATTTTAACACCACCACCCCCCCCCCCCC